TTGTCCAGTGTCAACATTGCTAATGCTGAAGCACCAAGGCTTTGCACCTTGCATACCTCATACTCTTCTGTACCTCAGGAAGCACAACACAGCAGTTTGTGCACATTGGATTCACTGAGGGTAGATACCAGCTTAGATACCTGGCAAGATTCCTCTCCTACTGAAGTAGGAGAATAAAGCCACTAATTTCTACTAAAAATATAGGTAGTAAGCCCAATAAAACACATTGGCCAGCATGAAGAACAAAGGGAAAAGCAATTTGGAGTAGTGGTCTACATTGCTGGGGTTCTGAATTGTGAAATAACCAATAATCCTGTGCAGTTTGTTTCTCAAGACACGTTTGATTTTCTCATGAGTTTTCATGGTCAAGTCATTGCAGTTAACATTATCACTGGAAATCTCAATGCTTGTAAAGCTGATTTTCCGTCTGTAGCTGGTGAGGATGTTAGCAATGTTGACCTCTGCCATGTCTTTAGTGAGTTCATTTGAAGGCCCCTAGGAAGAAAGAGTATGCAGTTAGTTTTAGGACTTGTCTTCTCCTGCAGAGAAGTGCTTTAATCAAAAAGGAGACCATACAGGTAAAGATAAAACCACAGCTTCATATGGGTTCATCCCAACATTCAGAGGTGCCTTTCAGCTGCTGCCTATTTTTAGGAGTGTCTGAAGTCCCAGAGATGCCTGTGTTTCCACCATGGTATTTCTAGAGGTATTTTTGAGATCTCTGAACAAGTCTCACTCTATGTCACTAAGCACCCCAACATCCATCTCCTACAAGACATCCATCTCTTCACGTCTGTGCAGTAACTTAATGGCTGGGGAACTCAGCATCAAGGTGGGAAACCCCTTTTTCCTCTGACAGGATTTGGACCCTTGACCACTGGACTATAGCCATACTACTTGATTTCTCACGATGAAGCAGAGCACTTTGAAAAATTCATTCTCATACCCCCACCCCCAGAACACTGTGGGACTGATGTTTGGTACTGTCTTCTGGGAAGGGAGGAAGAAGGGTTAATGGAAGAGTAATCTTAGAAAGATCCAAGATAACTGGGCTTATTTAAGGTAGATCAAGCTTTACCTCTTGAGGTGTTTTAGCTGCACACTTTTGTGATGAGCTGTAGTGAGCCACTGCATATTCCACAAGGGCACCAAAGATGAAGCTGAAGCAGATGCCGAGGTAAACATCAATGGCCTTAATGAAACAGTTGGTTTTTGAAAGTGAACTTCGTGACCCAATCATCAGAGTTGTCATGGAAAGCACCGTTGTTACTCCTTGGAAAGCAGAAAAGGAGAGATCTTTTGGGGTCACTTTGGAAAAGGCTTGGCCTATCCTTCTTCAAATGTTTTCACTCTCTATTGCTTGCCCGATAGAGCACATCACTTACCAAATCCAAATCATCCATCAGTTTAAAAGCTTTTGTAGTGCTAGCTACTAGCTCCACTCAGTCTCTTCCTGCCTTTGACACCTTGGCTCCAATGTGCATTTGGCTCTTATTTTTCTTGCTTTCAGAAAAAAAATCCTCCCCTCCCTGCCCAAAGCACATCCCAAATAACATGTGCTCTACTTCCTGCTGTGCATCTGCTGGGAGCCTCAGCCATACCCAGCTCTGCAGGTGGGCAAATGTGCTGGCCACAGCACATCCTCCATACTGCTAACCCAGCTCTACCGCAAGTAAAAGAGAGAGTGAACAGACCGTTTATCACTGAGAAGAAAACAACCATCTACCCAGCCCTCAGAGGCTCCCTTGCCCGCCCTTGGGCAGTAACTCACCAATGCAAGTCCTTGCAGGCACTGAATCTAATGTGATCCAAAAAGAAACCCAGGACAACATGACGAGCAGAGTGGAGGGCACATAGGTCTCCAAAATGAAGTAAAGGACATTTCTCCTCAGCTCAAACTGCAGGATCAGTCGTGGGTAACTCCCTGTTCATGAAAGGAAGAAACTCTGAACATGAGGTCCCAAGGACACTTGGACTGATGCTGGGATAGCCTAGCACCAGCCTTCAGCTGATGTACATCAGCAGAGCTGCACTGAAATCAGGGGAGATGCATTTCTTACACAGCTTGACTTCTTGCCTCAGAAGTTTTACTTATCTAACATACCCTAGACAAGAGGACACATGCACACAGCATTGTTTGGCAAGAGACATCTAAAACAATGTGTGGCTTGCAAGGGGGCTCCTGAACTTAATCCACAGTGGAAACATTTTGTACCAGTGTCTTAACTCAGAGGAGAGGATGGATGATGTTTTTATCTGCTCTTATACTCAGCACAACACATTTTCTCCACTGTGGAGGGACATTGCAAAGTTCAGTCTTATCTGGTGGCTGAGAAATAACACAAGATTTTTATCTCCATTCCAACAGGCTCTGGCTTACATCCAATAGCATCCAATACCTTATCATCAGAGGGAATTAGACTCCTGCATGCATTATTTGTTATCTTTGATACCCATGTCTCTTTGTGCTCAAAAAAAATCAGTCACTTGTTTAAACTCCATTTTTCAGCTGGGTTACTGGTATTTTCAGGAGATATTTCTGCTCTTGAAACAATAGTTCCCTTTGAAACATAGAAACAAACCCTGTGTTGTCTGTGGGCTGTGTACACTACAGTAAACAACAAAACATTTATGTTTAGAACCTGGTCATTCTGAGGAAGTCTTGCCCCTATTCATAGTGGCTGTGATTGGAGAGAAGAGTATTTACACTGATAATGAAAAAGACATTGAATTCTGATGTACAAAGGGATCTTATTTCATCAGGGCAGAATTGTAATTTACAAGCGAAAGTATATTTTAACAGTTACTTTTACTCCCAGTTACTGTGAACATGGATCTCTGCACACCTGGTAGGAGGGGACAGGTTTTTTTGGTGGATAAGGAAAGAAGTGGAGATAAAAGAAGATAATTCCAAATCTATCAAGTGAATATAGTATATCAAAATCCCCATCTTTCCATGGACTTCCATCTTACGCAACATCCTGATTGCAACTAATTGGATTTCAGCATGTTTCTGCCCATCTCTTTTTGTGAGATTAAGATTTGCTAAAGACTTCACATGTTCAAGCCCAGAGAAGGGAAGGGAGCTGTGAGGAGAAATACCTGAGAGCTTTTCTTGCTTTTCTCTTTCACTGATATACCTGTTTCCTGCTGGGTCTTTGAGACGAGGGTGTAGTAACGTTCCACCGTGTACTGAGAGAGACGCAACTTTTCTATGCCATGGACAGAATCGTTTCCTCTCAGCCACGTGAAGATGACGTCGTTTTCATCATATCCCCCTGAGGAGAACATAAAGACCCATATTACTGTGATTTAGCCAGAAAAAGCCCAGCTACTGCCCTGCCCTGTCCCCTGAGTGAGAACAGAAACACAATCCAGGCTGGACAAAGACCCTGTTGACTGTGTTGGACCATGGGTAGAGGTTGGCTGTTCTTTCATTGCTGTACTTTCAATCTGCGGGTTCAGACACTGGGAATGATGCATAACATGCAAGGCAACAGAGAACCTATTTCAGTTGTTTACATGGGGTATTTGTATTTTAAAGTATTTTAGCATTTTAGAAAATAACACATTCCTGTCATCCACAGTTTGGTAACATGCAGTAGGATAGATAATACATGCAGTGATAACCCCTTGAATATAGTCTCCTCAGTCAGGAGAGGAGGAGAAACCCAGTGGTAAGAAAACAGAGGATACAGATCCCCCTGAGCTCCTTACCAACTGGCAAGGGCACATTTCACTGAACTATCTATTCAAATGCTTAAAAATAGCAGAAGAGGCATTTTCAGGTAGTTAAGAGTTTGGAGCTGAGGCTGCTGTGTGGTTCTGAACCAGGCTCAATGCCTCGGTATGCACTGCCCACGAGACTTCTTCATGAAGGCAGCTTTTCTACAAACCATTCCTCCTATCCCTAAAAGCTGTAAGTTCCAGAAGGCAAATAAATGCATCTGACATTTAGGTAAGGCTGAATTCCTGCCTCAAAATGGAGGGCACACGCGATCAACAATTGAAGCAGTTATCAGTAAACTCCATATATGCCAGCTAAATAATCGTCTCCAGGAATGTAAGTGATGGCATTATGTGACCTCAGGTTGGACTGAGGAATAAGGCTTGTATGGAGTCACCAGCCTGCCATTCGCTTCAAAAATATCACTTCATTTAGGGTCTCACCAATTGGATTCTTTTATTAAGTGCTCTGCTTTGAGAAGATGAGCAGGGATGCTTGGATTCTGATAATAACCTCTTTGGCCTGGTAGAAGGAATAAGATGCAGTTGCAGCTCTGTTTTTATCTAATTGTGTTTTCTTATTAGATAAAATTATCAGCGCTTGAGTGTGATGAACTCCTAAATGAGGTGTCCAGGGTATGAATCCCAGTGTAGAATCCTCAGCATGTGACTTTGGAAAGTTTCTAAGCAGTTTTATACATTGTGGTTACTCAGGAAAATTTTATAATAAATGATAGATCGTTGTTAATTCATCTGGTGTGTGTTTAAATAGCATTATTTCTGGGCACTTATCCTAATGAAATCTCCAGTGGGCAATGTGCATGTAATTTCATTGGAATTATACCACAACTGAGCATGATGTAGGACCCAATCACTTTTCAAACAGTCACAAACATGTCGTGCTTTAGCAGAAGAGGCCAATCATTGTTTTTTCAGGAACTATTCTTTGTAATAAAGTTAACTATGGTGAACTAATAGGATTTTAATGTGAAAGTAATATGTGCTTCCCTATGTGCTTCGTGCTGCAACCCCAGAAGTTAAAATCTGGCCTTTTCACTACTGAGATTTTTGTGACATGAAGTGGGAGATGGTTGCTTGCTTGTTCCGGAGCTGTACAGATATGGAAAAGCAGCACTACTCTTGCTGAGCTCCTGGCTACAAGCCCTGGAGTGGCCCAGCTTGTCCTGGAGTCCTTCCCAGCAAGCTTTCCTGAGAATTAACTTTTAATTTAATGGAGAGCAGAACTCACTAATTATTCCTTTTTTTTTTTTTTTTTTAAGGCTTCCAAGGCTGAGACTCCTTGTGTTTAACCAGAGTCCCATCACCTGGGTTGCTGCAGCAGGCAGGCTTCAGGGAGAAGCACATACCATGACGTTGGGCTTGCCTTAGTTTCTGTTCATGCGTTGGAGAGTTTGTTCAACTCATATTCTGGTAAGAGCCACCCTTCACACTGTGTTGTTGCAGTGGAGGTTTGGGAAAGGCAAAGATGGTGCCTTGCTGTACTCTGTCCCGCGCACTTACCTCACCAGTTAGTTTTGAAGAAGCTGTTTGGGCAAAATGGACCAAATTTGGCAGATGCTCTGTTGTTACTTCATCCTTTCTGTTGAACAGAATTGAGCTATCTACACTTTAATATCTTTTTATATAAATTGCAGTGACAGGAATCCTCGGAACTCTGGATTACACCACAGATGAAGAACGATGAAGCAAAGTTGTTTTCTTTCGGACATTAATGTTTGCGGGAATAAGAGTCTACTCCAGAAAGCCACTGGGATCAATCCATATACTCAAGTTGCATAGTGACATATGAATAAATGAATGATTTTTCTAGAATGCTACACTTACAGCTTTCTAGCTGCAGTCTGCAGGTCTGCGTGTCCATGGGGTATTTTGACAGGTCCATGTTACAAGCAACAGTTGTAGTAATCCTGTAGGAAAAGAAGGAACTCTGAAAGTTGCAATAAAACCATGTAATGAAATAGCTGGTTTTTATAGCAATATAGACCACAAAGACTCTGCTCTGGTTTTAAATGCCCTGTCATTTAGATAATTTTGACCTATGTAATGAGTGGATTGATATAGTCCGGGAGAACCCTCCATAGGATGATGTGTTCTCTGCAGCCCACTGGTGAAAATGTAACCAAAGGAGGAATTTTGCTTTGCTATGGTGGGAGATTTAGTGTAGATTTATGTGTTTTCCAGTGCTAGTTTGCATCTCATAATAAGTCACCACTTGTTACCTGAGGCACAGTAAATGACTGCACACATACTCTGGCCTGCTTGAACATGGGTTGTAAATGAGTTTTACTTTGCAGTTAAGGTAACTGGGACACAGTTACCATGAGCTGAGAAGACATAACACTGCATGATTTCCTAACACAATTACAGAACACAGCTCTGCAGTATATTTACAAGTACACTTTCTGCTAAAAAGAAGAAATCATGGCTACATGGACTGGGTAAAGAGTTTCCCACTGCCTGTTAAACTTTCACTGTTATGATACCCTCCTTCCATTCCTGTCCTGCCTCCATCTGATTTGACTGGACTTCTTTAGGGTAACACCTCAACATGTGAGCTTTGTGAGCAGGCACTGTGCTCAGGACACAGCACGTACCATGGTGGGGAATCCTGAGCCTTGACTGGCATTTCCACGTGGCCCAAAGAGGGGGTAACAGATCAGAAGAGTATTTTCACAGTTGGGTTGTTGATCCCAAGCTCATTACCGGAGATAGCTGGTATCTGCTTCTGTCCAGTGTAATTCTAGAAATCTATCCTGACCGAGCAGCAGCAGCAAAGCAAAGGTGGCTTTACCTTAAGGCATACAAGATAGTGCCATTAGAGAACAATCTTATGAGGCGGTTCCCCACGGTGACATCGTGCAGGAAGGACTTTTTGGACTCCACAATGTAGGTGTCTGGTACCCAGAGCAATTCCACCAGCCGAGCATCCAACGTGAAGCTCTTGTTGCCGTGAAAGACCAAGCGGGGGTCTGTCCAGCGCTGCCGCAGATAGATGGTAGCTGTGTAATCCTGTGATTACAGAGAGGAAAAGCTGTGAGGATGCATGTCCAGCACATCTGCATGGTGCCTCTGTGTGTGACAAGTGGCAGAGCACAAATTTAACCTATCCAAGCTCAGCTTCAAATACATGCAGTAAATCTGATTGGTGGGTTTTCATCATAGTTTTATTTCCTGTATCACATTTCTCACATACTTACACTCTAAGGTGTAGCGTTTGAGATCTAAAGATCATACTCATATACTTTTTCTAATGAGCTGTTATTGTAACTGATATTTTGGTGTCCATTTTGCAGGTAAGAAAATAGATGGGAAGTGGACACATTCAGCAAGTCATTGACATTAATAATCACTTGTTGTCTAGAGCTGGAAGATTACACACATACTATAAATGTGATCATGAAAGACATCAGCACTTTGGGGAACAAAAGGTAAGCAAATCCAATGTGTTATTTCACTGAGGTCTTAACAAGCCCAAGCAAATAACCCCCCCAGATTTGTAGCATCTTTTTTAATTGGAGTTTTGTATCTAAGGATTAACTTGAGGTCAGTCTGCCAAAACCTACATGCAGTGACTGGAGCATTTTTACAGTGCCCTGTCATGAAAGAATAATCACAGTACTTGGCTCTAAAGAGAATTCTTTACTGAGCTGCTGGACAGACCCATGGCATTGATGCCCTATTTCACTTCCTTCCTTGTTGACAAAGTAAATGCAGCCAGTTAATGCCTTTTATTTTCGAAACATCTTGTCACAGGCAGACTGATGCTGGCGATGGTGCTAACAGTGTGAGGTCACTATGTTTCACCACAGATAATGCTGCCAGTCTGTGGAGGATGAAGCAGTCCTGTTTAATTTGATCTGTTATTTGTAAAATGCTGTAAGAGAAAAGGTCTGAGTAAATACCTGGTATCAGCTTTAGCTCTTGCAACTTTTAAAACTTTACTGCCTGTGACAGAGGAAAAACCATGTCAAATAACGCACTGTTATGGCTGCCAGTACAGTGAATTCTAACAGTGACTCAAGTGAAGACTCTTGGTTGATTTTCCAGCTTTTATTGAGGCACAGAGTAAGCTTCTGTAGAGTTTTCCATGCGGCAAGAGCAATTTAGATGGACCATTGAGAACAAAAGCTCCAGAACAGGAGCTGCTTTACAAGGCCCTTTACTCAGGTTAGAGGTATGTGAATAATTGATTCTGCTGGTTCCCCCCATCCCCAAAATGAACAATATTTTATTTAGTGAACTTGTTTAATTTGCTGGGGGAGAGGATAAGAAACAAGCCAGTAGTGTTCATGAAAGTGCTGGTATTAAGTTTTGACATTGTTCCTGATTGAACTTTTATGTGAAACTATTTACTGCATTTACCTAAGTTGCCCATAGTTTTGGTGAACCCGAAACAGGAGTTTTCAGCAATCAGTATTTGAAATCCAGCTGTTACCAGAAGTGGAAGAAATCACACTCAGCACTGCTGGGAAAATGTTTTCTGTATATTGGAAACTGTGTTTTTTTTTTCTCTTGGGATCACCAGACCTTTGAGCTCAGCATGTGTCACAGCTCAAGACCTCATTTCTCCTCCCTGAGAAGAAACCCTGTCTGTGTCTTCAGTCAGCAGGAGCACATCCAACAGAGGCCTACCCTGCACAGAGAGCTTCTACACAGAGGAAAGGTAAAGGACACAAAATGTCCCACAGGAGTGACTTTTGCAGTTTCTAAGAGGCCCAGTTTCCAGGAGGTGCTGAGGTTTTGCCCAGTAGGACCTTTGAAGCCATCTATATTTACTTAGAAGCCCACATTACTTTGTTACCTTTGCAGTCTGCAGCCATAAATGAGCTGTGTCCTCATCACACTTCTGAAAGTGATCAACAGACACAGAAAAGCAAAGCAGCTTGAATATGACAGTTTCTGGGCTGAGCACACAGGAATATATGACAAGTTTCTTGGGCAGATACTACTCTTATAGAATAAGATTTCTTTCACTTACCATGTCACTCTCAGATATACTGGAAATACTTGCAATGTCCAGACTCATTGCAACTTGAACAGGCTCTCCTGTGGAGGGAAAGAAAAGCTAAAGCAGAGTGCAAGGCACAATGAAACCACCCAGGGTTGTGTGCAGCATGGCACCCCTCCAGCATCACATGCTATCCCTAACACTGCAGAAGCCCATAGAGGCACAGCTCCAAAGCATTAGACTCACAAATGACATTGTGATCCAAAATGAAGTTGTCTCTGTTGGGGAGCTGGAGTCCTGTGTTTGGTGATGGGAGCAGAGAACAAATACCCACGAGCACCAGCTGGAAGGAGCAGCAGTTCCAGAGCACTGAAAGGCCACTTTAGATAAGCATTAGCCACAGGGCAGTCAGCCAGGGCCAGTCCGTCCCTTGTCACCCAGCCACAAAACCCACACAGTGGCAAGAACGGTCAACGGTGCTGTTTGTCACACAGGGCTCTGGAAGACCTCACAACCACGCAGTGATCACAGCCCTGTTTCTCAGAGGGGGAACACAAACAAGCAGAGAAAGTCAGTGATTCCCGAGGCCATGCACCGGGTTAAAGCGCAGAAATGCAGCAGCCTCTGTCTCTTTTTGGTTGCTGTATTAACAGGTCTATTTGAAAGCAAGTTTTCAGCGCTCAGCCCGAGCCCCGGTAGTTCCCTGTTCCATCGCCAACCGGTAAAACCCACCACAGGAGGGCAGCTCCTGCCCAGGAATTGCCGGCGCTGGGGAGAGCTCTCCGGATCCTGCCGCAGAGCAGCCGGGCTGTGCCCAGCGCGGCTGTCACAGCAGCAGGACAAAGCCTTTCCCTTGGGCTCTCTCGGGTTTGTCTAATCCCGGCTGAAGTCGGGGCGCTGAGTAGGAATGGCGCTTTCTAAGACATCCCTCGCTGCCGAGGTGGCACCACGGCAAGGCCCTCCCTCGTGGGACGTGCTGAAACTCCTTTTCATAATCTGAATAGCATTTAGAAAGCCCAAAGGATGCAACTTCTAAATCTGCTTCCAGGTAGTTTTGTGGGGCTTTTGTTTGTGTTTGTTTTTTTTTTTTTTTAATTTATTTTTAATTTTTAATCAAACTACTTAAAAATCCAAAATGTAATTTCATTTCCAGATGGTGGGTATTTTTTACAGGAGCTGTCGTCCATGTCTTCCATCTTAAGAGAGTCAAAATGGTTTGTGTTGGAAGGGACCTTAAAGCTCATCCAGTTCTAACCCCCTGCCATGGGCAGGGACACCTTCCACTGGAGCAGCTTGCTCCAAGCCCCTGTGCCCAACCTGGCCTTGTTTTCAGATATTTAGATATTCACACTTGAAGCCCACTCAAATTAATGACCGGGCTAGATCTATGAGGACTCAGGGTCTCTGGAGGAGGTCAAACCAGAGTCCTGACTACTGTTTAGCATTTATAGTACTGGTAGGTGTAGGCTGGTGTAGATGCAAGTTAACCGCTGTTATGCAGTTCAGAAGCATCTGTATAGTGATGTGACATGATCTGGAGGAGCTTTTCCATCCTGCATGTGATCAGACGTTCTAGGCAAAACAAGATGGCAAATTCTGTATTGTCCCCAGTCAGAAAACGGAAGAAGCTCAAAGCTGCCAGTAGCAGAAGTCTACAGTCTGCCAGTCTGCAGGAAGTACAATGGGAAACATCCAAGTCCTGGTGAAAGCACATGGGGAAGTTTTCTATTGAGTGGAATTTCATTAATGGGTTCTGGCAAAAAAGTAAAATTAAGTAAAAAAAAAATTGTAACTGTTCTTTAAACTTTAATCAGTACTTGTCAGGTGCCGAGCATCATTCTGAGAAACTCCTTCCTCGCAGCATTTACCTGGAGAGTGGCTAACCTGACACCCAAAGTGGAATAGCCTCATGTAAGCTCCTCAGGTTAGCTTCAGGTAAGCTCCTATATAGCTGACTGTCCTTCAGGTGCTCCCTACAGTTTTATGAGGGTTTAAAGCAGGTTTACTTTGTGTCTCAGTGTGAAGTAAAATCATGTGTCAAGAGTCAGTATTTCTGGCAAGGAGAATTGCTTTACTCCTCTATTGCCACAATCCACTAAATGCATACATTCGCTAAGTATATCCACAAGATACACATGAACCAGAATAAAGCAGAAAATCACAAGGGTCAGACTATAAACAAAAGCATATACAGTTAGAGCTGAATTTAGCTACTTGTCAGGTCTTTCACAGAAGTACTGAGGCTTATCAATTCCCTGTTCTTAACCTCATAGATGGGGACATACTCATGTCCCACACATGCATGCACAATCTCTTCAGCACATCAGTGGATGTGCAGAGAGGAGGGCATCCCTGGCTACTGGCTGGCTTAAAACTAACATGATCTTTTAAACTGGGGCATCCTAAAGAAAGCTGAATGCACACTCTCCCCTCCACACAAGCCTTACAGACTGTTCTTCAATTGGTCAAATGCACAGCGCCAACGTACCACCAAAGTAGGGCCGGAGGTACTTGTTGTATCCGGTGGTGAGGTTCTCAAATCCAGGGAGGGATGCTGTGTCGGACGTGTGGCCCACGGAGCACCTCCTGGGGACACAAATACGTAGTTACGTGTGCTGGGCATGCCAGGCACATCTGGTGTGCAGCTGCAGCTGTGTTACCAGCTTGTGCTCCAGCAGCCAAACAAACCGCATACAATGTTTATTAAAAGGAAGTCGATCACTGAAATCACAAGCACTTGTGCTCATTGCTTGCCTTGGCTGAAAAGCCAGCATTCTGAAGAGGTGGAAAATGGCAAGTTTCCTCAGCTGACAGGTACAGGTTTGCACACGTGGTAGCTTAAGGATGTTCTTAAGATGCCCCAGACAAATCAAGCAAGGTCTATATATAACAGGTCTTAATAATAACCCACAATCTCTCCCTCCCCTCATGCAGTCTGTGTAAGGAAAATGCATTTCTTTTTCCTGTCTGCTTTTGAGAACCTGAGACAAAAGTTACAGACCAACAGCTCCTCCTCCCTCATCACTAGTCCCCTAAAGAAGCTTTCATCCTCATGTTAGTGTCTGGCAGAGTGCCTGCAGCTACTCTCAGGGGTAAAACCTCCGAGTACACCAGAAGAGGAAAGGTAGAGCTTCACAGACACCAGCAAAGCTTTGTGAGCTGAAGGGCTGAGCCACCGCAGCTGTTGTGCATACAGAGGGTTCAGCTCTCACTGACCCTGTCAAAATTCACGTTGTGTGGATGGACAATGGTGCTGTTACCTGGCATTAGGAGGTTGATGGATCTGTACAGGCAGCTCGAGGGTTGGGGGGGGGACTGCAAAAGGTAAGTTCTCTGCTGCAGTGTCCCTCTGGGGCATGTGCTCACTTGGTGAAAATAAGTGAATGGTTAAGAGTTTGCTGTTGCTTTGTGAAGGGCCAAAGGAGGTGGAAGGCAGTGTCTGTGCCTCTCCCCAGCACCTCAGCACCATGGGGCTGTAAGAACTTAGCTGTGCAGTTATTCAAAGCTTTGATGATTTGTGTCTTCTGTTCCATTTCAAGTTGGGTTATTAGTCCTGGGAGCTTTGCTGTGAGTTTTAGACCAAAAAGGCCCTTACAGCAGAACTGAACCGGTTTGTGCACAGCATAAACATAAACCATTGCAGAAATTTAGGACTTATCGTTCCAGGGATGGCAGTAACACAGCTGGGAGCCCTGTGGGAGACACTTCCAGCCCAAACTGCAAGCTGCTGTGGTCCTGAGCAGGAAACGGGGGTTGCACTGTTAATGCGTCTGTTGTGTTTTGGGGGCCTATGCAGGTTGCTCTCTTCTACACCACATCCATTACAGCACTCAGCTTTCTTTGGATGGGTTGGATAATTGGAACCATGGTTTGCTTTTGACCCACATTACTTATGTGAGCTATAATTCAGCTGTTCCCTGTGAAACAAAACAAACACCCTGCTTACCTTTGGGTTGGAAGGAAAAGATACAGACTGAAGAAGCAGAAATATCTGCAGAACATCTCCAGAGGTTATTTCTGTATTTGCTGGGCTTCTCTGTAAAGCTGAAAGGAAAAGCAAAGTTTAGTGATTTAAGGAAGACTATTTTAAGGGAAGGGCACAGGGAAAAGAAGCCCTGCAGAGCCAGCACCATGTGTGATGTTTGACATTCCCAATACAGTGGCTCCTGCCCTTTCTTCTAGCCTGTGTCACTGCTCCCTTAATACTTTTCACATGAAAGACACTAGTGACAGCTCCAGGTCTGAAGCCACTGACAAGGTCACCACATTTTAGCTGCCATTTTGTGGCAGCTTTTCTTCTTTCTGCACGGGATGGTGGTTAGCTGATGTTGGGAATGGGAAGGGACTTGTTAAAGAAAAAAGGGTTCAGACAATTCCCAGGTGCCTTTAGACTCTAAAGCCAAGTGGAATCCTGCCCATGTATGACAGATCCATCATCTTTTAGTGCAGGGCTTCACAAATCTGCACAGAAATGCTGCAGCCCTGCACCCCATTAGCTTGTACCTGGGATAACCCATGCTATGAACAGTGATGTTGGCCAGGC